TCACTCCGGAAAACTTCAAGAACAGTTACAAACGTGAATCTGTTAGACGTGCTCGTTGTTTCATCAGACTTCATCATGAATATTAAATTGTAATAAAATAGGCATAAAGTAATATATCTGCAACACCATCGGCTTATATTCGTGCGAACTTAAATCGGGGCATGGGATATCCGTGGCAGGTAGACATTAGTTTGGCCGTCCCGTCGAAATGGACTCTGTTAGCGAAAAGACTTCGACAAAACGTAGGTCGTTATGGAGGTTCCCCAGGTTTCTTCAGCAGGTGGTTTACAGAACCAACACGGACCAAAAACTTTTATATTTCTCGTTGAATCGTCCGACCTCTCCCGACAAAAATTATTTTTGTACATTTTACGAATTACTCGCTGAACAAAGGATGACGTGCAAACGTTGATTTTCGCGAAGCGTGTATTTTCACGCGTTTAGGAAAATTTGTTCCACTGTGTATCGCGTTGGAAGATTGAAAAACTGTGTGGAACTCGGGCTTGGCACAACCTGTTCCAGTATCTCTGGATCGCGGTGTGTAGTTCACGCTTCCAACGAGCGTTGTAACGCGTTATAAAGGAGGGATTAAGAATTGTAAAGACGCGCTCTGGCATCTGGCTTTAATGTTCACTCATTTTTGCGGGTTTCACGGGGCTGGCAGGGCAGAGAAAATGCAGCTGCCGGTCGGGGGTTCCGGATCGCAACTCAGATCGAAGATCGAGGAATCTGGTCCCGCCGTCCCCGATGATCGTGCGAAAAGGAGTCGCGGTTAGGCGCGCAATAAGCACAGGACGAAGCCTCTTATTAACAACGCGGGCTCACCGAGTCGGACTAATCTGTAACAACGATCTGCTTGACAACCTATAGATCGTATCTACGGTGGTATATATGGCAGCACCTACGAGAACACTTACGGCTCCTAATTATACAAGGAGGCACAGAATCCAGGCTTAAAAGCTTTATATATAGAGAGCGGAGCCTGATATATCGCGGGAACGTTTAGCAGCAACCGCGTTTACAAACACCAGCCGAACCGACGCCAAACATAGTCGTCCTGCATTTAGCTTGCCCGAGAATTATAGATACCTTCGATTCCAAGTACTGGTTTCACAAAAAGTGAGTACGCGTTACCCGGGAGCTTCCTAGCGATCGAAATACAGTAACCACCAAAAGTGAACAGACTTTATAAAACTTCCAAAAATATTAATACTGAATTATATATACAATATCGTAGTTCAATCAATTATATTTGTAAATAGTGCATATTTTTTAAATAATGTTATAAACAAGTTGATTAAAAATTTGAATCTTCAGTGTTAGAGCAACTTGAATAACGAGCTTAAGATCGACTTAAATGAATAGCTTTTCTCGTTGCGATCGAAAGACTTTGGAATTTATTTAGGAAGGTATATATTATATGAAAAAGTGAAACAAAGGCTCATAAAATAAGAAGAAAGCTTAAACGTATAGTGAAATGCCTATTGTAACTTCCTCTCCGGCAAGAAAACCAATGTAACCGAGCAAAGATTTCGCACACTTTGCTCGTAAGTGCTTAATTTTAGTCGTGTATTTACATTCATCACTCGACGAGTCAGTCAATGGCATGCACCACTATGCGTCTTCATTTTGGCACGCCGACAAAAACGTACAGTAAGATGTTAGTAGATGGATGTAAACTCCGCGATCCATATATAACCTCCCAGTGATGCGAACCTTACGCGCGTCGCATAGTAATTAATAAATGATAACAGATTGTTGTAGAAAGTCGCACTTTCCATGAAGGCAACTTCGCAACGCGTGAACCGGAAGATTATTAAAATTACGTTATAATAAGTTGTCCCAGAGCTACGAATGGATGAGTGGATCACTTCCGGAAGAAAAATTATGTCACGGGAACACCAACCAAATTTCAACCTAATTCGTTTAAAAATAACCAGCTGAAAAAATGAATTTATAATTTTAGTCTAGAAAGACAAAGGGTTAAAAATGTTTCGAGTCTCGTGTAAGAAACGTGACAACTAATACAGCGTCGTTTATTTTCAATCCGTTCACCGTGGATACCGTCAGTAGCAGCTGCCAATGAGACAGAGGAAAATTTCAAGCAGTGTTCTCTGAACCGGCTAATTGCGAACTCGTCGGAACAGGTGCAATGCGATAACTCCCCGTGCCGAAGGATAATCGCAAGGGGATGCGATACCGTGAGGTTTGCTGGTCGTTCAGACTCGTCCCAGAACCAAGAGTCCTATCGGACGGACGAGAGAGAAGGTATAACAGGCTCCAAACTTGGATGAAACTTGGAGGAAAACTGCTCCTGCGGGACGCATGAGTCGGTCTAATACACTCTAAGGATGTCACAAACGAAACTCGTGACAGGAGCAATCTCGAAAGGCGACATTGTACTCGTTAATTCGGTCTAAACAAGCATAGTAAATTTCGGAAAAGGTATCTCCCGACCCGGCGGAGCACTCTTCCAGCGGCTATGTTGTTGTATGAAATTTGTAGATCTTATCTCGTCCCCGACGCCCCGACCGTGCACCAGGACGCTTTTCATTTTAGTTGATAGCGCAACGTGCTACGCGCGTCTGTAATTTTTGTTCTACCGTCGGCATAGAATCTCTTGTCGACCAGTTTTATATCTCACGAGCTCTTTTATTCGCGAAATGGACGGGCGAAAAATTGAAGCGGAAGAGAAAAATTCGGTCCAGACTTTATTCCATGGAAAGCAGCTGAAAATTAAAGTAGACTTTTCCTTTTCCTATCCCGTTTTATTGCTGCTTCCTCTTTCCACTGTACAGTTTCCCGATCGGTAGTTACATTTATCAGAGTTTCGTTTTATAAAATCGATGCTAGATACTTTTTTAGAATAAAATAATGTTTCCTTGTTCCGTCGAAGTATCGATAAAATATTTTACCAGAATAGTATTTATTTAGACTTTATACCGTATCTTAACAAGAATGCGACTTGAGGCACTAATTTGCAATTAGCTGCCCTGTATAGTTCGGTTATCTCCAGCGGCATCAAGAAGGACTCATTTCCTTCGACCGTCGAAATCTTAAGGTGAAAAGATAATGCTTAGAGATTCGTGGAGGATAAATAACACAAATACCCTTTTAGTGGAGTTAATAAACGAATTTTCCGAGACCAGTAACCTTTCGATATTCCTATTCGGACGATGATAAATAAAATTACTCGTATAAAGCGTGACAGGGACACAATGAAGCTCATCTAATTCACAAAACCCAGAAGAAAGGCTATCAAATATGCTCGGTTACGCGTCTCCGTTACAATAAAAACCCATCTAGGATCCATTCGTGCGCTCCGATCGTCGTAAAAAGGTTACACCTGGCCAAAGATCGGAGTTTCAGGAGAGGAGACTGCCGGGGAGAATAAATTCGTCTCTCTGGAACAGACTTGGGTTTCGTCACTCGGACGATTATTCATCCTCTCGGTCGAACAGTATAGGAGACACGCAGCCAGAAAACTCAAGAGAGAAAAGATACCGTGTTATCTGATTTGTAATACCCGCGAGACCGGTATTTATCACGGCTCCGAGAGCGCATGTATGCTTTCAAAAGCTGTGATATCGACATTGCTGACGAAACAGGTAATTTGAAACGCGGACGCGTGAACGCTGGTCCCAGAATTTCGAATATTTCCACGATCAATTTGTCGTCGCTTGCTCCTCCCCATTAATTACAGGATCGCACGAAACGCTTGTACGAGCGACGTCTACAGTGTTTATTCGAATCTTGATACCCACGGAGCTCGAAGGTGGCATATCGTAAAAGAAAAACTCGTTAAGAATTCAGTACGAAGCCTCTGCAGTATGGATAAACACGATTGAAATAGGTAACCTTTGGTAATCATCGAACCTTGGTCGGCTGTTCGAGTAAATGTTTACAACCAGTGGGGTCTGAAAAGGACAAAGTAAATCCGATGAACGCGACGACGAGACACAAAGTCCAATTTTCCTCGAAGCTGCAACGTTGGCGGCCATTGGGCTACCTGAAAAGTATCTATTACGTAATTGTTCGCAAAACGGGAAGGAGACCTGGAACACGTTTGGTACCGCGTAGCACAATGACGGCCGGCCGATCCGTAGCGGCCCGTAAAAGGTTCTGGACCCAGAAGTCTCTCGAAGAATACACTTACGTGCCTTCTTTACAATAAGAAAGCCGGCTGGATGGTTTTCTGCGTCGCTTTGATCGAGAACCATGCAAAAAGAGGAGCCAACCTGAACGAGGAGACTCTCGCAGGGGTGACGAGCGTCGTCGTGACGGAGTCTGCGTGCTGCGACGACGACGACGACAGTCAGGAAAACGCCGAGGACCGGAGAAGAGGATAGCAGCGTGGACATTGGTGGGGGTAGATCAGAGGGAGAGGATGGTGGAAGCGAAATCTGGCCTCAGTCGTGCGCGACGCGCCATATGCGGTGGACCATTTGTCAAGGCTCTCACAAAGGCCAATAATCTCGCGTGACACGTGTGATTCCCCGATAAAAAGTGTCACGTGCTGGCTGCTACGCACCCCTCTCTTGGCCTACCGGGGCACGAACCTCCCCACCCCGGATCTGCCGGCCGAAAACTTGACGGAAAAAGTTTTTCCCTCGGAGACCAGCTAGAGTTTCGTCCACGGTGGCGATCGGGGAACTCGCCCGCTAGTTTCGAATCGCGGGAACTAATCTCTTTCGGACGAGGGTAAGAAAAGAACACCGAGGTTCTTGCAGCGGGCGAATTTACGTGGGTAAAGTTTGGATCGTGATGCTACGGGAAACGTAGAAGCTCGAGAAGCCGAGGGAAGATCGGAAGGTGGTCGGTGGACGTGGACCGCGTGGGGCGATCAAGGAACGCGTTTTTTTTTCATCTCGAAGCTCGGGCAAACTGTGATCTATGGCGGCAATCGACGGGCCAGAGTGAAACGAAGATTTACGTCGATTATAATTAAATCTCGACGCGATTGAAGAGGAACGATGAAACTGGCCGACGTTTGATGTAACATCGCTGTTGGCCCGGAACAATCAAGACGATCGACGTGGATCTCGTTAAAAAGCGATCCCTGGGTCCTGTCAGAAATTTATGGTGCATCGAAAAGAAGGTATGCTCGCAAACCGCCGAATACAGTCGCTAATTTTATGCCCGAGAAAGTTTTATCGCATGCACGGGGAACGGAGCCGAGAAATTTATTCAAATTGAGTCGTCGAATTTTTCTACTCGCGACGCGACAGGTGACGCCGAGGCAATTTGAATGCTAAAGAGACGCAATCATCGATGCTCTTAAGGATCGACCGTTAAGAAGCACGTGTCCCTCGAATCAGAATAGCGGACTTCGGTCCAGCGAATAGATTATCCGTAATCAAGGTCGATGGTTCATTGTTATTGCCCGCAGCCGCTATATTTAGAATGCCAATTCGTATATTGTTACTTCTTTTGCTCGAACCTTTTTGTACGCGCAAAGCATCCCATGGAAGTGTTCGTTGCTAAATATTCTGCGTCAATTGCTCATAACTTCGTAGAAAAATCTATTTTGAAAAGTCGTGATAATCAAATTAAAAATAACTGTAGTTATCGATAAGATACCAAGTATGCAATAATGAGTGACTATAATCATCGTTAGTATTGAAGGGGTAACTACTATCACAAGGTGATAAATAAAACACAAACGTAAGTAAATATTTCTTTGTTTTCGCAATTATCCCAATCACGGACTGCAGAGATAAATAAAATTCTGCGTCCCCTAACTGATAATTGAAACAATCGTTTTTATCACTGATCGTTTTACACTCGTTTCTGCGACTAGTAATTTAAACGTACGATTAGTTAAAATGAGTACAATTATTGTAGGAATGTTTTGTATTGTTTTCACGCACATTTAATTTCAACGAACAACCATATAAATATATTTGATCACGAAATGGTCCAAAGCAATTTTCCGACGTGTAAGAGTTGACCATCATAACGCACAAGGAAACGTAGAGAGAATGCTAACCCAGAGGAACTGGCACACCTGTTGGGGAAACCTGATGTCGGGAAAGACGCGATTCTTCATCGAAACGATGATCCCTTTTATGCAAACCTCCATCCCGATACCTTTGTATAGGACAACGGCTAAACGTGACCAAAAGAGGAAAAAAGAAATTCCTCGGCCAGTTTCCCTCTCCGATACGTGAAATAACGTCGAGGTATAAATTTGGAGAAAAAGGAAAAAACGGAGGTAGATAGAGATAGGAGGCGAGCAGAGGCTGGGTATCTCGTTTTACCCACATTCTCGCAATCCATCGATCACACGGATTTACCACACGTACGGTATTTCACATCGAACGTGTTTTATATTTAGCACGGCCCATTGGACGCCGCGTTATCGCGCTGTGGCGCATTAAGGCAGGGAATAATTAATTCGAGCCGTACCGATTCACAGATTACAGCCGCGAACGTTAATATTTCGAGGAACGAATTGAATTCCAATATCCGCGGACTCGATTGTGTCTCATTAAACGGGCCGCCGAGGCAATTAAGCATGACTAACATATTTGTAACGCTCGATGAATGGGCCGCAACCCGCCAGCCGTGACTACGACCCCGTTCCGAGGGTAAACATCGTTTCCCATATCGTATGCTGTTTAAACATTCATGCAATGGCGAAAGTATTCGAACGCTTACCTACGAAACGTTTGTTCAATTTATCGGACGTAAATTTTTAACGGGCGTCTCTGTATTCACTTTTCACCACGTTCTATTACATCCGTTCGTCCTAATATTAAATTCATGTTCATTGAAAATGTAAACCTTAAGAATTCGCTATTCTTAACAACGAACGTTTTAGTAGAATTGATTTTTAACAAATTTTAGTTATTTATACTATCCATTGTTTTTAATATTAAATTCATGTTCGTTGAAAATGTAAACCTTGAGAATTCGCTATTCCTAACAACGAACGTTTTAGTAAAATTGATTTTTAGCAAATTTTAGTTATTTAATATTCAATATTTTTTATCGTTCAATAAATAGTAATTTTGTTACGCATTGCAACTTTATTCATATTTGAGATATTTGATAGCTCCATGTTTTAACAAAAATGGCCACCACGTTCAGTGGTCATCGAACTTCAGTGGTACTGGAACTTGATGCTCGGTTAAATTCTGTTTTAATCTTGAGAAAATGGTTCTCTAAACGCTTGGAATGCAGAAGGAGGTTTATGGTGATAATTGCATGTCCTCGACACTAGTATCTGTAAGATATAGACGCTCCAAAGTCAGCCAAGAGGATTTGGTCGACGACAAATTGCCAGGTCATCCAAAGATAGTCATCTCGTTGTCCGATTGACCTTTGCTTTTGCAGAAATTATTTTTGTACCAAATGGAACTACTTTAGAAGATCAATAGGAGGATCAAATGGAGAATAAAGTCCATTCCAATATACGATCATTTTCCCAGAAGCAATATATTCATAATTAATTTTTTAATTTAATTAGAGTCATAACAGGGGTTGGAACTAATCGATTGAATGAAGAATACATTGTTGCCTGGTTGAATCTAAATTCCATGAAACGAAACGCGACAGCGATTATCGAGATGTACGCGTTATTAATGTTTCTTTTATCGTGTAACGATTAATCTTGTTGGTAATGAATAATATTCGAGGGTGTATTCGCGAGATTATTTTGAATTTTAATCTCGTTTCGGGGAATCTGGTCCAGCGTCGGGTTCTCGTTCCCCGGAATCGATATATCGTGCTTTCCGTATCGGTTCGTGCACGAACGGGCTCAATGGGCTAGAAAATGCCGGGTGTTAGTCTTTTTCGTTCGGCTCTGCCTAACAATCTATCGGGCTCTTTTAAGCGGGGTTAACGATCTGGCAGTGTCCCGGACCGCGCTTCGGACAGCAGCCGGGAAACTCGTAACGCCTAGAGTGACACGTCGTGCGATGAAATTGTAAATGGCCCCATGGGACGAGCCGCGAGACTCGAGACTTTAAGTACCGGGCGATATATAGTTACCGAGGGAAAGTTGTTCGCGACCGTGAAGCACCAGCACTCAACGGGGGTAAAAATACACCCTTCGCGGGAACTTTGTTGCACGGAGAACTATGAATCTCTGCATAGACGTTGCGTAAAAATTATACGGATTGTCCCACGAATACCCGCGAACTATGGCCGAAATATTATGGATTGAAAATTAAATAAATTCCTTTCGAGCGTGAAGAACAACCCCCATAGGCGCTCGGTCGTTCGTTCGACCATCAAAATTGTTTGATCTCTGCAGTGTTTCCGTAGCCGAATTTGAAGCTGAACTCTATAATTGTACTCTGTAGGTTAAAATTTGTTTTGGTATACATTTGCGATGCAACGATCCCTTGTATAAAATGTAATTAATCGCGGGGACAATTGGTTAAATATTTCGATGCTCCCCTGATGGAACAGTTTCGATAAATATTTGGCACGAAAGGCAAGAGCTTCCGCCAACTAATTAGCCAATCAAACAGCTTATTAATTAGCGTTCGATATGATGACTGAGTAGTTATTAGCAGACGTTCGTGTTACTAATACCCCCGGGTGACGCGAAATTCAACGTATTACATGTTCTGCATCGATTTCCGACCAATTGATGTACGCTGAAGCAGGTTACCGAATTTCCTGTCAAAGTGCATTGACTAGATCGATTTATTGTTCGATACTTTCATCGTATTTATTCTTCTTTATATTTACGGTACAAATAAAATGTTTGAGTCGAGTTATAAACCAATCGGACCGTGGCTGAAAAGTTTCGTTTCATAAATTTTGCAATTGAAGTCGTATTACGCGAGGTAACGTGTGCAATATTCCACGAGTGCTGCGGAGGACCTAAAATATTTAACTTACAATTAGAAGTCCAAATTACCTGCCATTAGGCGGATAAAGCGCGGCACATTTACGTATTAATGCTAATTCAGTACGGTCAAAAAACGCAGCGGATTCCCTCGTGCTTAACATGTACAACGTACGTGAGAGAACATTGAAATTACCCGCTCTGATACAATGAAAATAGTATACTTTTATGCAGAGCCGCATGTGTAAATTGCATGGCAGTTTAAACTATCTGCACACTGAGTGGCGTTTAAAATTGTCTACTCTTTATGGTTCAATTGATTTACTGTCCATAAAGTGTGACAATTGAAACAAACGAATGACACTGATAGCGCGTGGCAATAATGCTACTAAAGGTTAATATTTTTTATTTTCAAATTCAGATCGAGTTTAATATTTCGCTATTTATTCTACAAATATTTAAATAACTTTTATTTCAACTAAATATTTCGGTTTATGTATTTGTTCTTCTTGCACGTATTTTGTACCTTGTTTACTTCTCTTCTACACCGCGTAAAAACTTTTACGCGTTATTTGGCTTCCAAGGAAATGTTACAGCGTGGTCGTACGTGTTTAAAATTGTCTATCCTTATACCAACGATGTTGATTATTTTCTATTATCTTTAGGACTCCTAGCACGAGTTTTCGCGAATATATTTTCGAAAGTACGTTCTTTAGGAAAATTAAAAGATTTTTTCAAAAGTTCACGCTTGTCTGTTCTTTTGCGTGAGAATCTGAAGAATTACTCTTAATTAAATCGTCCGTCGAGAGTTTTACACCCACTGTTTTCGATCTACGACTATTATTAGTCGCGCAGACGTTCGATTGCGAAAGCAAGAAGAAAACGTAGGTGACGCGATAACGCTTCGGCGGGTTCCACACGGTGTGCGCGTTGCAACGAGACGATCTGATATAAAATTCGTTCACACTAGCCCCGTAAAAAGCAGCGAAGACAGAAGGTCTTGGTATCCGTGATATCGCGTTGAGGGTGTCGCGTCGGCTCGCCAAGGGTAGCTAGAAGTGGCGCGGCTAAGAAGGCGGGGGCGGGTTCGGTGGCGGCTGCAGAACGTGCAAAATAATCTCTCCTTTCCGCGAATAAAGTGGGCCCTCGTTAGTTTCCGCTTGCCGTAACTCTTGGCGGCAAGACGCACGAGCCGGTATTATTCTTGGCTGGAATAGCGGATCGTTAGGTTTAATCGTGCGGGCGTTTTCGTCGCGACGGACGACACAATCAGCCGCGAGTAATCCTCCGGTCGAAGCCGTGGAGGAACAGAAGAAAATAAAAAAAGGAAAACGCGGCGAGAAAAACGGGCGGGGGTGTGATCAACCGACGCCGGGGGTAAAAGGGACGGAAAATGCTCTGCCCGCCTTTCGTGTCTAATATACAAAGAGGCCGATACAACGGGAGCACTTTTCTGCAATTTCGACGCTGGGAAGAAAGGGGCTGAGAAGGGCGAGAGAGATTACGACCTGGCTGACACACAATACGACAGGACGTCGACGTCTTTCCTCGTGGCTGCTACCACTCGACGAGATGATTTCTCGTACTTTCCTCATCGCCCTGGGGAAGATATCCGGGTCATTCCACCCCCCAAATCGATCAGTTTTTTGCGTTCCGTGTCAGAGATTTGCTTGCAATTGTCATATAATACAGGACTGAATTAACGAGAATAAGAACGTGTTTAGAAAAATTTTAATGACAGATTCTAGAGCCCAAAATAAGACGAACATTAAGAATACAAATTCGTTGATTGAGGCTTCGTTAAAAAGTTATTAACGTTTAAAGTTGTGCCTGTAGAACGGCGATCTGCGAACAGCTGCGTACGCGTGATAGTGGTTCTCACTCATAAGGCTGTCGATACGTCGCTAAGTAGAGTTTCTCATCCTAAGTGAGAACCACTATCGTAACGCAGCTGTTCGCAGATTGCTGTTCTATAGGCGGAACTTTAAACATTAATAACTTCTTAACGAAGCCTCGATCAACAAATTGGTATTCTTGATTTTCGTCTTAATTTGACCTCTAGTACCCTGTATAATAACGTTTAAAGCACGAAGAGGAATCGAAACGTCCTTTGCAACGTTTGGTCGCAGTCGTGTCACTTCCGAGTTTCGTCGTACGATTTTCAGAGAATATACCGTGAGTCACGAAATAAATTTTGCGACAGTCGTGGAAGCGGTGTTTCTCTTTAAGCCGCGGGGAAATAATTGGACGATATTTTGAAACGTCGCGCGAATCGAGCACATCGCGATGTACGAATGGAAGGTTTTTTCCTATCGAGAACGACGTATTGCGGTTAAAAAATGATGCGCCCGTTATCAGCAATTGACGCACCCTTTGATTCACTCCCAGACGATAAAACTATTGTTCGTTCTTTGCACTTTGTGAGAGCGAGCGTGGCGCGGGAAACAGAATCGTATCGCGCTCGTTCAGTCGCGTGTCCCAATTCGCGGAATCGTCGGACGTATTTTAACGGAATTTGATGGAGGCTGGTTTCGTTCAGTCAATACGCTTTCGGCGAGTAATTAAAAGTTACTCCGCTTTATAGAAGCATCGGGACCGTGGGAGCCTGTAAATTAAATTTCTCGAAAGTATTCGTATCAAGATACACAGAATTTACAACGATTTTGCATTTAAATTGACGAAACTCTTTCGAAGAGCTGGCTTCTGTCAATATTAAAAATCGTGGAAATTGTATTGTAGAGAATGTGGCTGTGCTACCGTCGATATTTCAATATCTCTTGCTCTGTGAAATATGAGATCTGTGTTGAATAAAATTTTAATTAATCGGGACTGAAAATTTGTGTATATTATAAATATAATCTTCGTTCGTAATAGAAGTTATAGCAGAATGTGCATCGCGGAATAAATGAATGCGAAAGATTCGTATACGTAAAGTGTCCGTCGTGATTCGGAAGTTCCATTGTGAGCGTTTTAAGGGTGGTTTTAATCGCAATATAAAGCGTCTTATGCGTCACTAAATCCGTAAGAACCGCACGGTTTTAGGGAGAGGTTTACGACATCTCTGCATTTCCGTATCTCGGGCGATTGTGTCTGAAAAAGTTTCATAACTAAATTTCCAACGGGCAGGGACGTTTATCGCGACGAGCCGCGTCAGCGTCGGTTCGTTCCGATTATCTGCCGGACTTTTTTTCTATTAAACCTCAAGTTTTTATCGAGTTACGCAAATGGCCCATGACGGAATACATTAAGTCATAATTTTATGAAAACGGGAATACGTACGTCTCGATTATGCGTTTAGCGGCGTACAATTGGCTGAAAATTTTCATTTACGCGCCCCTACGTCGGGTGAAAGAGTTCGTTTATAAAACGACGATAAAAATGAAAGCCGAAGCAATGCATTTATTACTATTTCTGTATCTCTCGAATTCCATCGTTGGTTTCAATTTTAATGTTTGCGTCACGGAAGGGTTTTTTTATGAAAAAAAAGTCACGAGTATTCTGCGTTTGGAAAAAGGCTTTATGTACTGAAATAGAATTGCAGTTTTTGTCAAACACGAGGATGACATTCGGTGCATTTGGCCACGAGAAACACGAATGCCAATAAATATTCCTGAATCCGAGCTAACGACCATTCACGGGAACTACAAACGCTCCGAAATTCCAAGAGGACCCCTGTCACGTGCGCCGCTATCGTAGACTCTTCGAGGGAAAAAAGGGGGCGGGTAGGGGAGAAATGACGGGGTGCAGCTCTCGCGTGGATTTCGGTAGGCACATCTAATTGCGTTGGCTGATTTATCGGCCGCGAAGTGGTTTCGGCCAGACGGAGGAACTGGTAAAACGCGCGATAAACGACGAGGAGGAGACAAACACGGCGCAAGATCCATTCGGTAGCGATGGGACCTGCCCAGTGATATAGCCATTCACAAAGCTGAGGAATTCTGGAAATCTGTGAATGAAAAATTCGATAATTATTGGAAATAATTACCAAGCCTAAGACGTAACAATTTGCAATGAGGAGATATATTGTTATCCGACAAATAATACATATTTTTCGTACGAATTTATTTTTTCATATGAACGTATTCATTATGGTACTTAAAGTGGTTATTTGTTAATTGTTTTCTTCTCCGTTATGAATGACTATGTCACTGGTCCCATCGCTGGTCGGTCGGTAGCCGTGTAAACCGTCGGTGAATCATGGGTGTTGAGACGTACCCGTGTAAACGTGTCTTCGTCGTGGCTGGTAGGGCACTTAACAATTGCTTAAAATAACCGAATCCCGCGCGTGGAAATGATTTCGCCGCTTCCTTTTCTACCAGGGGTGAGCCGCGGGATCATCCAGGGAATCGGGACGAAGGAAAAAGGTCGAAATGGATGGAATCGCGTTTTAAAGCGAAATGAAAAAACACGAAGAGGAAGAAAAAGGGTAGCAGCCTCGAGGAGGATAAATAAACGCGAAACACGGACCGATACAAGGAGAGAAAGAAACGGAAGGGGGAATAAGCGTAGGGAGAGCACCAGGGCTCGTGGCGAAGAGGGTAAATAACGGAGGGAAAATCGAGAGGGAAGAAAGAGAAGAAAGTATTCGTGAGTGGTTAGCGCGGAACGCAGGACCCGCAGCTGCGGGAGGTCTACGTTCATTTTAGGGAGCCCTTTACCAGAAGGAAAACAGTGTTACGCGATATCACGTGAATATATTATTTCGAGGCTGTGTCTTCTTCACTTCCAACCAGCCGACAATATATTAAAAGAAAACAAACTGTATTTAATTATAGCATGCCTCGATCGTCACTTCCATCGCCAATGGAGGGGCTACTTCAATTTTTCGACATTTATCTCTGTATAAAAAAGAACACATCAGAGTTAATCGATGAAGAATTGTTCAAATAATATACAGAAATTTGTTTAAAGACAAACAAGACAGGCAATAGTTCTGATAATCAAAACTCTGTTTTAAATGTTACGTAAATGTAATCTATCGCCATTTTCTGTATACTTGAGAAATATTCAAACGACGACACGTTATGTAAAAATATCTCCTTTCCGGCAAATACCAAAAATGGCCACTGATCGTTCTTTGTTTCTTGTAGGACTGAATGGGGCTACCTCGCGATAACATTGAATTCATGCATACGAGGAAGAAAGAAATAACCGGGAATAAGTGAGTACAGCTTTACGACAGATCCTTTTGCGATAATAAGAGTATTGTGCGGAGAAAATATAACGGAAACTAAGTTAGCGTAATCTTTCGGATGTCCCTTCCCCCGACGTGACTGTTTTGCGACTCCGCGCGTAAAAATTTCCATTAATGTCCTTCTTTTTATGTTTCTTTTCACTTACTTTTTGTTTTGCAAGCTGCTGTAACGTTGATCCGTAAAAGTACTACTTGTGTCGAAAAATCATTAACTTAAAACAGTGTTTTGCAACGTTTTCTTACTCTTGACCCCCTCCTGAGTTTTATTTGTTATAACACCTTGCATCCATTAACGAAAAATTAATTACCAATCAATCTTTTTCGTCCAGAATGAGTACTCGCTCAGGTTTCTTCAATGAAATTGTATGACGTCGGGAAGCTGGGAAGTCGAACGAATTAATTAATTACGCGCATTAATTACACTCGGTCGGTCGACGGTGTTCATCGTTGATTACTTCATAGTTAACGCCGTTTCGCAGTATGTTGCTGCTACAGACGCCAAGTTATTCTTGTTTGTCATCGCAGCAGCTTCGTCCATTTAATTAGTTTAGTAGATTCAATTATCATTCGCTTCGGAATATTCCTCCTAGGAGCGAAGCGATGTCACGTGATCCTGCAGGATTACGTTGCACAAGGCGGATAACTCTGGCGTGCATTTTCATGAAAACAGGATTACACGGGAACTTATTTAACTTTTCGGTTACGATAGGAAATTTAACGCGCCTCAAAGTAGCCACTGGCGTGGTAACGCGACGTTAATGAATTTAATTTCATCAAATGAATCGATTATGTTCGAGGAGACTGGGCAGACAACTTCCTCCAAATTAAAATTGCAGTGAATTATACTAGAATGGTTGATAAAAATTGGTGCATGTTGGTGAACATATAACTCAAGCTGCAGAATTTTAATAAAAAGCACTTTTAAATAATTCATAAACGCGAACAGAAATTGCGTACAAAGTTACTGTTTTATAAACAGCACGCGTAACAATAAAACAATACGCCACCCTTATGATAAAGAACGTCTGTTTATGGAACTATCTCCGTGAAATATGTATTTTTTAAAGCGGGAAAATTGTCTGAAACAATGTGTATAAAAATGTCAAGTTTTAACAGCAGAGACTCCTGGCGCCTTGGCGTGCTTCATAGGGTGCAGTTTTATTCTTTTCCTATTCTCCTAAAATCGCCCCATCTTTCTGAAACATACGTTTTATGGAGGAAAGTTCGAGGAACAGTGGGAAATTTTTTATTATAGGATTATGCATCGCTTTATTTTTACGCGACATGCTGTCGAAAGAAAGTCCACAAAACTTTTATTCCATGTATGTAACACTTAAAAAAAAATAAGATAAAATACATATTTGACCCTAAAAGTATTTGTATTATTAACCTAAAAAAAATGCAATTTGCAAAAAGATTAATTTGAAGTGCAAAACCTATGGTAGCCGGCGATAAGATATTATAACTGCCGTAATATAGGGAATAATTAGCTATAGATCGTTGCGCAAGCTGCCGAGCGTAGCAAAAATGAAATTTTCTAACTAACGGGCAGAACGAAGAACAATTTACGTCGAGACTGTCCAGAGTGCTTCTTTCCTATGACGTCGTTCCGGATCATTATTTTTATACCGGAAGCTGGCATCGTCATTCTCGCGACGGTTCTTTTTCTCCCGCATTAACAGCGTCCCGCGAGGGGAATCGCTCGACGTTTCCCTTTTTCTTGCATATTTAAGCTCGGTTAAAGAATCGGTTACGCAGCGGTATAACGAGGATTTCAGTAACCCTGACTATTACTGGTTTCTTGCTGCTTCGGGAAGGTTTTCAGCCGCTTTAAATTGTCCCCCCGTGAGAAGCAAAGCCGTGCTACACGATAGTACAGGATTACAGCGGCACAAAAGCGAAGCCCGTGCATTTTCATGAAAACAGGATTACAGGAAAACTTATTTAACTTTTCAGTAATCGCGCGACGCTTACCGTCGAGCGTCCTTTAAGTGGGACTCTGGGTACGTTACGTGATAGCGCAAGATTGCGTTGCTATTCCTTCGACCTGTGTAACCGGTAGCTGGGAGCATTTTCGGATAAGTAGTCGCGACGCTCACGATCCCGCGATAAAACAACGACGAGTGTATTTATGACGAAAGTATAATTGGAGGAAGAAGTTTAGCTCGCGTGCAACGGCGAGAACTGTTGCTTACAGGGGCGAGGCAGACACAAAAATATCGTTTGGAGGCAACAGAGATGAATGAAACAGTAAAGAAAATAAGAAGGAACCACCAGTGTTAATATCGAAGAGGTCAATGCAGAAGAATGCATCTAAATGTTTAAATCGAAGCAATCGCTAAAATTCGCCGAGGCACGTTTAAATGGAAAATCTTTACGTGACGAAGAAACGAAAGGAAACGAGGAAACTAGACTCGTTCAAAGTTTTATCGAAGTCAGCCGCAACTACTTGCATCTACTTAAACGATTGAGGAAAATTCTATTTACTCTGTGCTTCTTGCTTTTTTCGAATCCGTTCGAAAAGCTATGAATGGAAACGTAAGATTTTAAATTGTACCTTTGGTGTATTCATATCGAGGTATAAAGTGGAGTGTCGTTTAATCTAATAAATTCGATGACAAATACGGTTTTCTCGAACACAGCGAAGTATTCTCGTGCTCTCTATGGTTTCTCTATATTGATGTCCAATCCGGATGCCCGTACGATGCATGGAAAATCGTCTCTTCGTTTCTAAGTCCGTCGTAAAAGTGTTCTTGCTATCCTTGCCCCAGCTTTATATCCGCGGGTCGTGCCAAAGTATCACGATAAATTTAAAAAATACAAACGAGATTCGCATCGTCTCGGCGGGCGTAAACGTCGCCTCGTTCGTTCCATCCGCACGCAACAATAACGCAATAACTGCATTTGTTCGTCGCAGCCTGCGACAAAGTAACAATGGTCTCCGATCGAGTTGTCTTATTTCGACTCGTTCGTTCGCGATTTTATTCCCCACGATTCGTATTAAACTTTTATCGGGACTACAATAGCAAAGTGCTTGGGAGCCGAATCGAGAGTAAACGATCAGCTTCGAGCAGACGCAGCACCGATCGAAACTATCGAAAGTACGAGATTGGGTCTCATGTTTCAGCGTTGCGAGAATCCATATTGTAGACGAAATATAATTTTCTCGAGTTTCTCGACTTCGAGGTAAATTTCGAAACCAGTTTTCTCGTTATTATAAATACGATGCTCGTGTTTAAACATTTTTATTCAAAACGAACGTCTCGAACGTGCAATTTCTAGGTGTCGGTGTTTCAAAAAAATTTGACATAAAAATCTACGATTTGAAATTATGCATGGACTCGTGTCGAACGATAGCCGTAACGAGGGGACGATGTTCGTAAAAAAAGGTGTGCACGCGGGAAAAGGGAGCTCGATGATCGAAAGTTTGTAGAGGAGGAGTTATGGCAGTGGCGGTAATGAAGCCAAAGGCACGGGAAGACAAGCGGGCGCTGTCTGTTTGGAAAGAAAACACTTATTAGCAGGGTTGGATCGTGGTTCCGGCGAGGGCTGAATTTAAATCGGTACACGCCGGCACCGGGCAAAACGTAGAAAGGAAACAGCGCGACAAAATGGTGGAGGGACCCGTCGCGTCGTCGGTCCGAGAAACATACGGGATCCCCGGCGCGGACGCAAATCCAACCGGACCCGAGGGATCTATTTTAATTATGCCAGGAGGAAAATTTGCAAAGAAAAATAGCGAGGCTCTCCTTATTTCAGCTACGGAGGTATAAACGGGTGACTCATGACGGTAATAAAGACGATCCCGTTACTGGAAGAGAACTTGAATCCGCCCCGCGGGAATTATATTCTTTTAATGACGATTGAATTAAACGTCGATTCGATTATTCTCGGGGCAAAGAGAATTTGTTTCGGGGCTACGGGGAAAATATCGCTGGCCCTCGAGAAGTATCGCAACGGTCGAATAAACGTTGCTCCCTGAAACCAGAATTGTACTAATTCATTTACATGGTATTTAAATTTAGTTGGTTCGTAATTGCATTAAAATTGAATAGCATTCGATTAAAAATGAAATAAAATGCAACGTGATTAAATTACAACTCTCAACGTCGAGTCACTGAGATTTAATTTCTTTGCGTGTTTGTTTTACAAATGTATGCTTTTGTCTGTACATGTCAGTTAATACGTCTCTGTTACTAATTAGTGATAAGTTTAAAGTGTTCTTTATTTGTTTTTGTCCCGTCGAGTAACGGTTTTCCAGCCCCCGCGATATTACTTTACTTTACTTTAAACTTCCTTGGGAAGTATTAAGCGCGTGATCGTGAAAGAAACGCTTAATTATAAGTTCGATTTGTTTCTAGCAGCGAAGCAGAGACGCCTGTGATTTACACGCAGCTTTTGTGGAAGGTTCGTGACACGTTCGTCGACTTCGTGTTGTGTTACACGTAGCATTACACCCGTCTGACTCGGCTTTACTAGCACGGTAATGAGTGTAATTAATTAAGGTGTTCGTAGATCCCGTTGTACAAGTATCGCGCACGTAACACATCGACGAAATTCTATGCAACCAGAAATCAATAACGCGAACACTAGGAGCGTGCGGGTATTCGAAATTACTATAATGGTCATTTGTGGCTAATCGACTGTATTAAGCAGAGTTTCTAAATTCTTAATTGCACGGAGAATAGTTTTACAATTTCCTTTACATTTGCAGAACAGATTAACTTTGACGTCAAACTTTGTCGCTGTGACGCCTTTGTCGAGGCGTCGAGTATTCGATAAAATTAAATTGTAAAATGAAAAGTGAACGTACCTTTGAAGTGTCAACGTTCCTTTCGCGACGCATTGTGTTTGTCCCGACGGCGCGACGAACCAGTTTCGTTTTGAATGAAAAGAGTCGAGCATTGTTCATTAATCAGAGGCAGATAATTAAATTGGGATAGCTTAAGATTTCGAAGGCTCGAAAG